TACAATTGACGAGGCGCGTTGTCGTGAGGAAAGATTCAGTTACGAGCGATCTTTCGAGTACTTGGCGATGGTAGACTTGATTTACGGTTTGCCCCCGTGGAAGAAATTCTTTATAGACGATTCCACGGCTATCAAAAAAGGCAATAATCATCGTTTTCACCTTCGACTTGCTCAAAGGAGCTTCTTTCGGGCGGGGGGAGTGCGGAGACAACCATTGTGAACGTTTGGTTTCCAATTTTAGCGTAAGCGTGCGAAGCTATTTCCCCCAATTTGGCGTAAAATCTTATCGCGACGCGTTGCTCTTGATTTCGTTTTTCCATTTTCGTGAAGAGCACCACGAACACACGTTTACTTAACATGACACAGCAGGCGAGCTAAACAAGCTAGGGCGATGGAAAGGGGAGAGAGAGAGAGAAAGAGAATTTCAAGCTCGCAGGGTTACCACAAACGCGGCAATATAATCAGTCTCATTACTAAATTGTCATACCTTCTGTAAATCACTGTTAGTGAACTCTTTTTCTGTCTTTGATAGTCAGCACCCTGTTTAGACAATCAAGACTGGCGCGATAAGTGGGACTTAAATTTCAAATTGAATCAAGACAGTCTCAAAAACTAATTTTCATTCTCTGTATTTTAAGAAGACATCAAAAGGAAACAACTCTCAAGTCATTAGACTAAGAAGAAACTTAACTTTGCTCGCTTAGCAGGTTACTCCCAACTTTCATTTACGATTGAGTACGTGGCAGATTTTCATTCTAATTTTCCTAAGGCCGAGACACTCAAATTAGCTGTATCATGATTTCTGTTTATAAAGTAACCACTGTTATTTTTCGGCTAATATTGATGTGAAGCTGTCTAACGAGCTATCGACTGCCGAACACTATGTGGCTGTTTCTTAGCTAAACGAAATTTCATTGAATATTTGACTACTCGTATTTAAAGGGAATAGAGGCACCGAGTGTAATTATTCTAGGAACTTTTCTGTGAAGACTTTACTTTGATTTCTCTACATTCATATAACGGTCTTGCCGTTCGTCTTCTTACATTTAGTTACCGTTTTCAGACTCTCTTCCAACCAACCAATGTTATGCTTGATATAAGGAAGAGTATTCCTTGCCTTCTACGAAAGCCAGCTGCAGAAAAACAATAACAAAAGGATTATTGGTATTGTCTACTATTATTATGTGGCATTAAGAAAAAAACGCAAACAAACAAAAAAAAAACAAAAATCACGAAACCAAAGTTTGTATATGTATGTATCGAAACATCTATTAGTATGTTAACTAGTGTCAATCGATGAAAAAGAAACTACCTATTTATGTTTATTCACGGTTCACACCGATGTCATCATGACATTGTCTACTGCACAAATTTGCTGATGCCGCAGTTAGTAGCAGCGGATGTACTTGTCTTGTATTCAAGCTTAACTTTGTATAAGCGTGCATGCACACCAGAGAATACCTTCTGGGAAATTGCCAACTAAGAGGACGAAGAGTTGCCCGTTCTTTTATATTGTAGATAAACGATGATGTAGCAGCCATGAAAAGAAACAGTTTGTTAAGCGACAAAGACCTCAAAGTGCTCAGCTACAGGAAAATGAATTCAACAGCTGAAATATAAGTTTACTTATAATATAAGTTACTATTTTTAAGCGACTTCTCATTTTCTTCATTGGCATCGGCATACGCTATTATATGCTTTCAACCATTCTTAGGACATGACCGAAGCCAGCATATCCGCTCTCTTCATTCACTGAACTATGTCAATGTCACCGCATATCTTATACTGCAAATGCGCAAGGGGCTATGAACTCTTCTTTCAAAGACTATCAAGATCGACTCATCGGATGTCGACATTGCCCACGGTTCTGCGCAATATAACAGGAGGGGAATGATGAGGCACTTGTAAGGCTTGGTTTTGGTTCGTCTAAAGGGGGCTTTACTTTTCAATTGCCTACTCAAACCCTCAGCACCTGTTGGCAATAGTGACTCTGCCTTGGATTTCCAGTATGATATTGTTGTTGGTTAATGCGTATAGGATTTATAGGGATACCAAATTTAGACATATCAGCTTATGGGCAGCTTCCTTTCGAGCTTTCGTTATGAGATTATTTTGTTGACGGTGGGCTTGAGTCTTTCTCACAATACACTAAGAGAGCTTTCTATGTAATATAGAGGCGGTTTATCCTCCCACTTAGGTTCCAATCTTTAAGCTTTTTTTTTACATCTGGTCATATTTTGTCGTTGTATTAGAAAAGCTCCTCTTGCAATTCATCGAGCGCCGCCGCTTTGTGGTTCTTCAAGCGGACGAATGCTATTCGAACTTCTTAATGGTCAGGTAATGGTACGTCTTTTTCATCGTCATCGATTGGGGCAACGGGTGCTAAAGAAGTTTTCCCTCCATAAATTCAATATACTTTTGTTATCAGTCTGTTAATGACCTCTCTGGGTCCTACAAGAATTTTATTATTGCTTTAGTATTATATCTATAACGTTTAAAACGTTATATTTTCCTGCAAGGTAGTTTGGACGAATTAGCCATACAAACCCGCTTGTGTGTGTGTGTGTGTGCAATTTTCGTCTATGGCATTGTGTGGTTTCGCCTCACATGCACCATTAATCTCATCAGACAATTTTATGTGATGACAAAGCAATTTACCACTTAACTTTACTCACCTCACCTCAACTCGACTCGACCGACGCGACGCGGCGCGTTAACTTGGCTTTGACTCGACTTGACTGGGTGCTTGCATTGTTTAGTTATTGTTGCATTGATGGGCGTCTATTAGTACTTTATTTCGCATTTGTATACATATATTTATGTGTGTACGCCGGTGGGACTTTTACTGGCTTTTTTTTTGTTTTGTTCCAACCTCTGCATTTATCTCAGCTGAGGCGCATGAGTTGCATTTAATTGCATTTAGTTTTTTCCTTCTTTTTACTTTTAATTTCACTTGGTTAGAGTCACTGAGCCAGGTTGCAAGTAGTTACACGAAGGATGCATGCAACTAAGCTTGAGTGCGTACACCGGAGTGTTTACAAGCAGGAACATGTGTGAAAAAAGTGCAATGACATGACAGTTTCCATCAATGTTTGTTATTAGCTTCGATTTTATCGTTACTTACATACACGTATATATATATACATACATATTTATACGTAAATGAGAATGTCTAGGACAAATTGGTGCCTAATCTTTTTTCAATTGTTTCTTACGAATTACTTCGCTGCTGGCTAATTTGTCCTATTTTACGGTATTTTTCATTGCTCTTTATTGTATGAAATAATTAGAAATGACGTCAGCTTATGAATAATCCCTATGATTAACGAACAACATGGAAATATGGAGAAATTTATCAAGCAGAAATTCAAAAAGAAACATTCAAAAAAGGATTCTGAAGACTTAGAAATCATATTTTCCTTGGCTAATCACTTTTGAGAATTGTGCAGGATTTTCTAACCTAAACTGCACATTCTCGGTATGCTCTCACCTGTGCTGATCAATGAAAGAAATCTGTTCGCCTGTGCCAACCTTCTGAGTTCGTCTGACATGAAGTTTTGCCTTAGTTTTGAGTTATGAATTTCACTACAAGAAAACCCCTGGGACATACAAAAAGTAGCAAAATTATTCTCAACAATGCTCGACTAGTGAAGAAACCGGTACAACTACTGCTAAAATCCTGCATAATCATCTTTGCGTGACTAAGGTTAGCACAAGACGGGTGCTAAAAATGCTCACGCCTCCGCAAAATCACCTCTAATGAAGAGACGAATTGTTACTGGAGATGAAACTTGTGTTCATCATTATGAACCTGGGCCGAAGCAAGACTCCATGCAGTGACATAAAAAGCATTCAACACCTCCCTGACACAGCCAGCTGAGAAACTCATAGCAAATGGTCTTTTGTTACTCGGAAGGAGTATTATTGATCGATTTTAAAGATAAAGGTGCTCCCATAACTCTCATCTGGAATGCGTAGCCCCAACAGACAGCGTAAGATTTGATATTTTGAATTATGTAGGGTGGAGCCCAGAGTGAATATTACCTGTTTCAAGAAGGAAAACAGAGTTGAGTGAAATGAGCGGAGTTGGCAAAATTAGGGAATCGACGTATTTTTGTTCCCACTTTCTCGTTTCTAAAAGTCATCGCCCCTAGAGACTTCATCTATTTCGTCAAAGTGCAGAATATTCATGTAGGAAGTGTCTTATGGTTTTCGATTTTTCTTGCCCTCTACAAATTCTGTAGAAGTCGTTCGATGGAAGACCGTCCACTACGTCCATGCCCAATAGAAGTACTTTACAAATATTATTTAATCCACAATAAGTCGTTTTACTGCTTCAGTGTTTTATTGATTGGCGACCAACAGTTCTATTCTTCCGTCTCAAATACCCGATAATGTTATAGGGAGTCACTACCTTATGCCATTTGAAAGAATCCAGTGGAGGATTTCTAAAAGTAATTTACGTTTGTTTTCTTCAATGCCTCTTGTCTCCGTCGCTACATAAACACTTCAGGCACTTGAAGACACACTGCTCAACACTATTAGGAACGCGTGAAGAAGGAGAATAGCGGTGCAGTTCCGTCTCCTAGTAGTGAACATAAATGATCATACACTTAATACAAGTGACTGAAATCATAAGGAGTGGTTTGAAGTGAACGGAAGATGGGACTCACAGTCGCACTTTTTCCAGCTGACTTGCAAAGTTAGAAGACAGGCTTGATTACAGTTTGAAAGAAAAGTCAACGCTTTCCGCTTCTTATCTCATTCTAGCAGCTATTGTATTAAGCTTCTGTATGATCTTCTACCTCCCAAAAATATTCACTCAATTAGCTAAAAAATTTTAATACAATTTTAGTATACAAAAACAAAAGGGTAGCGTCTTCCTAAATCGTCATGATTCCAGCTGATATTTGCATTTAAGCTCGACTTAAATGCATTTACTTACTTTTATTTCGTATGATGGCGTTACAGCTGTGAATTTGAGTTTGAATCGAACTCAAGGAAAGCAATAAAACATGTTGCACCACGAAGAGCATACAAAAATCGAAATTATTATTATTATATACTCGTGGGTATATATGTTTTTTCGTATGTGCGAACATGCCGTTTTCATTTGCTACACAACCAACAACCAATTCACGCTTTTATGCCACATCATAGGCAGCTCAACTCAACTCTACGAGCATACTTGCGTGCTTAGCCCATCCGAACATTACACTTCGCGCGCGTTTAAGTCGAGCTCACACACGCATGGCGGGACGGATGTATGGACGTGCGAAGAGGCTATGAGCGGAGCACTGAAAGTGATACCCCGATGATTAAGCGTCGATATGAAGCTATCCATCGACTTACAAACTAGTTCGTATTACAGTCACTTGTTGTGGTTAAACAATTACTGGCTCGTCGAACTTCAATTTGTCGGTTGCAGCGCTTGCCTCAGCCGAAGAGGAAAAGTGTGCTGAAGACCGCGTTGATGGTGTTGACGATAATGACAATTAAGTTACCAAAGCGACGTTCAAGACAAGAAGGCAGACGAACCAACCAACAACACTCGCTCAGTCTTTACATAAATTAACCAAGTGTGTGTTGTTGCTGCTTCTGTGTTTTATTGTGTTATTTACCAATGTCTATTCGTTCGTCGTCTCGCGACTGTTGGTTAGTTGACAGCAGAGTCAGCAGAGCCAGCCGAGTGGCTCATCAGCTTGCGTTGCCTGAATGAAGAAATTTAGTTGCGCGCTGAACGTGAACGAAAACGATCGACGGTAAACGGACGCGGATCTTAGTATCAGTGGAGTGGAGAAAAACAAAACATAGTTACAAACGATTCGTAGTTGAGTGAAAAAGAGAATGAGAAATTTGTATGTAAATGCAGCGAAGCAGAAATGTTGATTAGCGTAAATGGATTTTGAATGGCTATACAAGCGGACCGAAGTGGCAATCACTGGAACTATTGACTGCACTGCACTGCACCTCATGAGATGTCAATAGCCGACAGGCGCCAGCTTGACAATTGCAGTGCATGGTGAAAGAGAGAATTAAATAAAAGTAAAAGTGCTCGCGAAAGAACTGTAATCGAAAGAAAATAAGTATGTAAATAGACATACAAAAATCGGCTGAAATTTTTTATTGTAACATAAACACAAGAAGTCCTCTTCGTACCTCGCATTGCTCACCCAAAATATAATACAAATGGATCTACTAAGTGCCGATAAGCCAGCACCTGCCGGCAATCCTATACCACCCAGCTCTCCTACCACATCCCATGCTTCCTCCATCACCTCGATTAGTAGCGGCCACAAAACGCATGGTGTCCAGAAGTTTTGTTCGAAAATACGTCACAAAATCGAGGATAATATCGGGCCTCGCCTTACCGGAAAACTATATAAGTCGCAAAAACATTCCATATCGATGACTTCGCTCAGTAATGTTGACTCGACGAGCGGCAAATACACCACAATCAATAAACAATCGACTTTACCATCCCTACCCGCAAAGGCGGACTCGCCAACGCCCACAGCTACTTCGGCGCATCGACGTCTCACTGGCATGTTAAAGCATCAACGTCAACGTATTAGTAAATCAGCAAAGGCGCTTAATAAATGCGAAATTTCTGCACCGATCGGCAAGGTCACGACCAATTCAGGCATTATTTGCCCAGCTCTATTAGAGAAAGGTGGTGCCCCTGCTACTGCGTCGGCCTTAGCGACAATCACGCCTACGTCGCCTACAGAGAGTGCCACTTACGTGGATAGCGATGATGAATATCAGTTAAGTTTGAATCTGACAAAACAGTCATTAGAGGACGAAATATTCGAGGAACTCGAGAAAGCCGCACATGACGAGTCGAAATTGAATGCGGTTTTGAAGAACTTTGATCGTCTGCTAACCGATTACCATGACAAACCAGCTGCTTGTGCAATAGAACAGTCAGCACAATGCGTGGAAAGTGATGTTGCGGTTGTAGAGGCGGCTGCAGCTGCACAATTAGAGCTTTTGGCACTGGAGCCACCATTAGGTTTTGCCGATAATGAGTTCGACCGTCATGAAATAAGTGAGGGGACAAGCAAGACCTATTTGCATGAGGCAGAAACAGCAGCTGATGCTGAGAAGAAGACAATGTCCGGAACTGTTGAGACAATCTTAGAAACAGCAGAGACTCCGTCACCGACAAAAGCGACGAAGGTTTTTGAATACGAAAAAAATATATTTTCGATGCAAGAGCACAATGCGTGTAATAAGCCGAGCATGATTGAGGCAAAAGACGTCAGCGTGACCGAAAAAAATTCAGGTAATACCAATCAGGTATGCTCAACCATCACAGACAGCCCATTGTCGGTGGAAACTTCTATCAGTAGCCCAAAAAATTCAAACAATAACACAATATCAACATCGGCTACTGAAGATCCCATAACACCACCACAACGACCTGCGCGTCCAAAGCGATTGGAAAAATCCAAGTCCTCATTGGCCATACCCAGACGCAATGTCTATCAAACACCTGACACACCAACGCTGCGCAATGTACGCTACGCCCTGGCCACACGCGCACGTTCCAAGTCCGTTTGGGAGTTGACGCCCAACTCAGCAGCGGCTGCGGCCAATAGTAAAATACCAATTTTCAAAGCGCTACCATTACAAAAGCGTAGTAATAGCTTCTGCAGCGTTTCCTTAACGGAAATGATTGGCGAGAAGGAGAAAATGGTCGAAACCAGAAGTTCAGCCGAGGAATGGGGCGGTGGTAATATTATAAGAAAAAGCGCTGTTGTCAAGGATAAACCAACTGTAACAAATACACAGCGCCGTCAACTGACAAAGGACGCACGTTCCGCCTCAACGTTGTCGCTGGGAACCAAAACACGCTCTCGTTCACTATCAACAACACGCGCACCAGCGTCGACACAAAATATGCAGGCGCAGCAAGCAGTATGCACATCAACAGCTCAACGCTCAAAACGCAAAACGTTGCCTGTTGAAAAGCTGACACGTAGCAACTCACGCCTACAAATCGAGAGAACGAAATCTTCAATCGGTTTTAACTCAGTCACACTGGGCACACACAGTCCACGACGCACACCATCTAGCACCAGTTTGAGCAGCAGCAGCCAATATAGTAGTCAGAGTCAGAGCAGTAGTAACAGCGGAAGTGTGTCGCGTGTCAGCGTTGGGAGCTCAGCAGTCGCACGTAAGTTGCATCGTAGTCGCGATGAGCTTTTGGACAAGTGCTTGGAGAAGGGTCACGAAATTTTGCGTAAGGTGGAGTCCATAAACACGAAAGGTGGCGTGCGTAAGGCAGCAATTGTGACGGCGCCGAAGAATAATGGAAAAACAACAATGACGACAGCAACAAAATCATCCGTCTCATCACAAGTAAGACGTGCTAACACAGCTGCAAACGCTACGACGCTGGCCAGCGCACGTACGAAAGTGAAAACAGCTGCCACCGGCAATACACCATTGACAGGTAAAATAACGAAAGATGCGTGTGCGGGTACTTTGCGTCGTATACACGCCACCACCGCCACAACCCGCAACGCCACCTCGTCACCACCTACAGCCACAAAACAGTTGAAATATGCGAATGAAGAGAAAGTACCACAACAACAGCTGGAGTTCTGCAAAATAATACCACCCGTATTGGGTGAGACATCCGATAAACATGCCGAACTATTGGTCAACGTGGTGCAGTTCAAATCGAACGCAGCCGATGCATGCAAAACAACTGCGGCACAAAATGAACACTTGCTGAAACAGCGCGAAGAAGTCGAAGAAGGCGAAGAAGTCAAGGTAGAAGCAGCATCTAATTACGCTAGAGAACAAGTTGCGCGCAAAATAATCAACGCCTACCAAGCGCCACGTCACGCTGAACCAATTGAAAAGCTAATTAAAGTTGGTGTTGAATTGAATCATCACAACAATGAATCGGATTCTGACGACTCGGGACACATTTCGAATGAGAATGACACAAACATGCACACCTTATCCACATCAACCACCTCCAGTGTAAGTCTATGTGAATCTGATATTATAGAGGAGGAGAAGATTCAACAACGACCAACAGCAACGACTCCGTCGTCGACGCACGCAAAGTCGAACAAAATTTCTGAACTCTTACAGAAATTCGAGCAACAATCAAATGCGTCGGCACCTGCCACGTTCGGCGCCGGCGAGCATGCTTCCACTCGTTCCACGCCCAGTAAAGTCTGCACGGCGACACGAGTCGCCAAACTCGAGGCCGTGCAGTGTATACAAACGCAAGTCGAATTTTATCCGACCTACAGCAAAGAGGTAACTATCAGATTGCTCTAAAGCAAAAATAAATAGTCGAGAGACACAGTTAAAGCCAAAAGTAAACGAACGCAGCCTTAAAGTTAACCGAAATTTTCCAACCAAAAATGAACAAAGAAACCAACAACCACACAACCGAATAAACAATCCGATAATCCTTTAACCGCTAGTAGTCCACTCCTGCATTTTTACGGTGAAATTGGTACATTTAATTATTGAATCTGTGTTTAAGTATTATTTTTGATATTTTTTTTTTATACATTTTTACTGGTTTTGGCTAAGTAAAAATCCAAAATCCTGTAGTTTGTGCATTCACATTTTACATAAATAATATTTGAAATTTTTATTTTACACGCATTAACGTTGCTCCTTTATAATCTAAATCATATATTATTACTCTCTATTATGCATATATATTATACCTATTATTGTATTTACTTTATAAGTAAACTATCACAAATTAATTGAATTATAATATCTTTGTTTTGTTTATACAAATATATACATATTTCTTTAATTTCTTCTTCTAATAAAAATTTGATTATTTTATACAACATAAAACCGTAATTTGTTTTCTTTCACCCACTATATACAAACGTAGTTCTCAGTCTTTTTTCCTCTCCTGCTCCTCATTGGCTATATCGTCCAGTAGTAAGTTGAAAAGTAGATCCTCTTTCCTTTTTTTTTCTATTGATCGATTACTATTCGTTTGGTTTTCCTAGACCTCGGTAGTGCTATTCTGTTTTTTGGGTGTTTTTTTAATAACTAAGAGTATTATTTATTGGAGTTTGTTACAAACGGCGGTGTAAGTGCTATAGATGAAAAAATCCTATAATTTTTTTAAATTATTTTTAAATATTTTTAGCTGTATATTGATTTTTTTTTACTAATTGTCACAACTCCCTTAGCTACGAGGGACTATTTTTACGTTTGCCCGCTAGATGGCAATAAACAAAAAATAATCTTCCCTTTTCAATATATTCATCTGCAAGACGGAAACATTTTTAAGAGCCCACAATTACTTGATTTCTTTTTATATTCAAAATACGCCGAAACTGCCTGCATCATCGATGTTAATTTTTATACCTCCCAGCTCATTTGTTTAATTTTTGAAAACGGTTAATAATTCCTCGCGCCTGATCTTGACTGCATGGTGGATGATTCAAAACATAGAAGCAGAACATACGCAGGGCTGCCAACTTAACGCGGCTCTTGTGGACGGGCGCATTGTCTTGCACAAGCAGCACACGATTCGTCAGCTTTCCACGTCTTTTCTCCTTAATGGCTTCTTTTGATTGCTCTTATATTGAAGCGTAGTACTCTCCAGTTATAGAAAAGGAAAAGATGAAGGATAATCACTCAATAATATTCCATCGGAGTCCGTTGCCATTAGTTTCTCAGCTGAGTGTAACACCTTAAACTTCTTGGAAGGTGTTGAGCGCCTGTTATGCCACTGCATAGAGTGTTGTTTTGGGACAGGCTTAATAATTCGACTCAATAATACACCTTTCTTTACAACACTCGCGGTTGTTGTGAGTGTACTTTTTTGGCCCTCATCTTGCCCTGAGCTTAGTCATGTCAAGATGATCGTGCGGGATTTTAAAAATGTTTGTATTGGATACTACAGTCATTTCTGCGTGTTGTTTCTTCTTTTTTAGCTGAACATCGTTGAGAACAAATTTTAGGAAAATAATAATTCTGAGTCGCTAAACACGTTACTATCCTTATAAACCCCTTCAACTCTCTCATTCCGCGTAAATAAAATTGCTCCCACATATAAAATATATATTTATTGAGCTTTTACAATCAGCCAAAAGTGAACTACATCGCTGAAAGAAATTTCCTTTTTTCATTTTGAAAATCAGGATCGAATTTTGTCTAGGCTTACAAACTTCCTTCCGGGAAATCTTCTATAAAGTGAATGGGCACAGTTCAAATTGTTATTCGGGTCTTCTTCGATGCTTTGCTCCAAAGCAACAATAGCGTCTTCGGTGCGCACTGTACGGCATCTCCGAAGATGTGAATTTGGCACTAGAGTAAAAGTGATGCGAAACGACGCCATCTTGGCTTATCCTTAAACATGAGATCCTCCTGACACCGCAAATGGTTCTTCCCACAGGGGCGTATGTGAGTCCTGCCGATTCAGGTTGTTAGTACACATCCCCATCACTTTTTGCGAAGACAAGAGCTGAACACCTTAATGTTTATTACGGAGTGAGTATGCACCGTTATTCTGCATTCCACCGACATCTTGCTCAAATATGTTGTCGAAATTGCAAGTTTGTCATGTCTGATTGCGGTGTTCAACCCGATAACTTGCACAAACATAGTAAATGAAACCACTTTTTTTTTTTTGTTTGTTTTGTTTTTGGACCTACCTTAACGGAGCGAGCGCTGGATTGCGATAACTTTAAACTACATACCTACATAAATAAGTGAGTACATGTCCAAAACTATGACGATGGAATATGACAAATTGTATTTACGAGTATGCCGTTTGTGCTATTGTTGTTGTGAGTTGTTGTTTAAAATGCACAGCGAGCAGAGTAAAAATGAATTTGTTTGACCTAATCGCTAACTTTTACTGCCGAATTCGTTGTAAATAGGCGACAAACGCTGCTGGTATGTGGGTGGAGTAAACAAAAACAGTAGGGGAAAAACACAAATAAGCAGGCGATCGGGCAGTACATAGTGGTAGCGTGAAGTACATTCCAAACTTAGCTTTTGCTGTGGTCATTATACAGTTAATCTGTCGCATTGTTTTAGTTAAATGACGGTAGCTTGGCTTAAAATTGTTTTTGTCACTATTAACTGCTGCTATCTTCTGAAGTTGTTGACAGTTTTTTCTTTTATTTCTGTAGCTACTTTCATTACGCACCGCTATGCGCATGCGCGACATGTGTTAGCATACATACAAATGAATATGGCCAGGCCAGGCCAGGCCATACCAGCAAGTGTTTGCGTACGCCACATACTCGTACATATGTTTGTATGTAAGTCTCTTGGTGTAGTTGTTGTGTTATTCCTTCTACGCTTACCGCTGTCGCAGCAATGCAAATTTTCACTATCAACAAAGCCAAAGTGAGAGAAAAAATTATTCATAAAAACATTACAACTTTCATTTCATATCGCTGGATATCTTTATTAATTTGTTGAATTTATCCATATGATAGTCATGTTGCCATCAGTCACTACACAGTATATGCTGCATAATTGTTGTACATACACACGTACATACTCGTGCGTACATACAGAAATAATACGTGATTTGCGTTATTTTAATTATTCACTTATTATTATTATTTTCTCTTAAATATTTACAAATGCTTCGACCTGAAAGTCTGTAAATCAATTTAATTTCTAATTTACTACAGTGGCGGGAGAAGAAAAAAGAGACTACTCGATTCTTAAGAAAAATTAAGACAAAATAAACCAGGAAATCAATTAAAAATAAAGAAATAAAAGCAACAAAATGAAATAAAATTTATTAAAATGGAATAAGAATTGAAATAAATAAAACAAAACAAAGTAAAATGTTCATAAATTAAATTAAACTTAAACAAAATAAAAAAATAAAACGAAATGAAAAAATTATAATATAAAATAAAAGAAAATGGAATGAAATGAAATAAATTATAATATGAAGTAAAAAAGTATAAAATAAAATAAAATAAATTAAAAGAAAATAAAAGAAAATGAAATGGAATGAATAAAATGAATTAAAATGAAATAAAATAAAAAAAACAGTAAATAAAAACTTAAAAAAAAATCAAATAAAACTAAATAAAATAAAATGTAATAAATTAAATTGAAATGAAATGTAATTAAATAAAATTAAATTAAAAAATTAGAATAAAAGAAAATCACATAAAATAAAATATAAAATAAAAGATACAAAAATTTAACATCAAATAAAATAAAACTAAAAAAAAAAATTAAATAAAATAAAAGAAAATGAATTAAAATATCTAAAAATGAAATAAATCAAAATAAAATAAAATAATATAATTAAATTAAATAAAAATGAAACAAATTCGACCAAATAAAATAAAAAAAAAAAAAAATAAAATAAAAGAAAAGAAAAAAATAAAATAAAATAAAAAGAAATAAAATAAAATAAAGTAAAATAGAATAAAATAAAATAAAATATAAAATGAAATAAAATAAAACGAAACGAATTAAAACTAAATAAAATAAAAAAGGAAATGAAATAAAAAAACTTAAAAAATGAAATAAATCAAAATAAAAATAATATAATTTAATTTAATTAAATGAAAATGAATCAAAAATAAAAAATAAAATAAAATGCTATAAAATAAAAAATGAGTAAAGTAACACAAAAATAAAAATGAAAAACTGAAGTAAAATGAAAAAATAAGTAGAACATATTGAAATAAAATAATACAGAAATATAGTAAAATAAAATCATGAATACAAAATGAATAAAAACTAAAATTACATAAACTGAATCTAAAATAAATTCAAATATTAAAGATAAATTAGGTCAGAACTAGAAATTCAGTTTACAAAATTCTGATTCTCAACTCGTTCCAAAATTCCGAATTAAAATAAAATATTATTCAATTAAACTTATTTCTACACTATGAAATAAAATAATTTACAAATGAAATCAAAATAGCATAGAATATAAAATATTATAAAACCATTTGATTGAGTTAATAAAAAATAATAATAAAATAAAAATTAATTAAATTGAAATGAAATAAAAATACCTAAAATTAATCTCCATTCCACATTCAGCCCGGTTCCTGATCATCCATGTGGCCACCTGCAGCATTGTCTTCTTTGTGTATAGTAAAGTTCGAATATATGCATTTCATCCTTATTAGCATCTTTTGTCTTGTCACGTTTCCACTTACTTGGTACACTTGCAGTCCTGTACCGGCAAGTGATCACAAAGGGATATTTCCCTTGCAACCACAACCTTGCACCAGCTTAGCTTCGGTAGCCTTCAAAATAATAAATGCAAAAATGTTTCAGCTTCGAGCATACGTATGTATGTACGAGTATATATGTAAGTATGTATGTATATCTCACGTAATAGTACGTGACATGTGTGCAAGTTGAGTTTACGCTTTTCGATCTATTTCTACATTATTTTGATTATCTCATGACAAACATACAACTTATCTCGAATCTACATTTAACTAAGGCCCAGTCACATAGCAACATATGTATGTGTATATGTATTATGTGTGTACACCCCACAGATTTAATGACAATATGCAACTTCTGTTTTCATCCTCCGCCAGTATACTCTTTGAATTCGCCTCTTCTCAGCCAAAAGCCCTTTGGCACTACGCTCTGATCTTTTGTTTGATCCCGCATTTGTTTTGCTCGCTCTGTCGACGAGCTGTGTTAAGCTCTTCCGCACACAGGTGTTCAAATTGGTTTTATTCGTAATTTTTCTTTTGTTG